GGGAGGGAGAGAGAGTGTGAGTTGGAGACAATAAATATGAGTAAAATGGAAAATCAACACAAAAAAGTAGAGACAACTTTTAAGTGTCTCTTATATATAGGAACATGTCATAAGCATCAAATGTCTCTTATAATAAAGAACGGAGGGAGTAATAATTAACTGAATTAAATTTTTTTATAAATTATTTATTTAACTCTTTTATGTAAAATTATTAGACGAATTTAAAAAAAGACCAAAGAATCTGTGTACTCATCCACTTGGCCAATGAACCCAAAGGTGCCCCGTTCACTGGAGCCTGGCAGGATACCGAGTTTGGTGCTAGCTTGTCCCATGTCAATTTGACACACCCACACATATTGTGTTTTTAATTAATATTTAAATATTATATAATTAATGTTAACAATTACTTTAAAAGAAACTAGCATTGACTTCCTCATGGAATGCACGGGTAGAATTTACTTTAGAGAAATTACAAATAAAAAACTCGTAATATGTAAAATTATTATTTGAAACTCTGAATTTGAAAAATAACAAATAAAGATCATGTTCTATTTTTACAAATTGTGATTTGGTCTACTGAAGTTGTTATTTGCTAAAATGAACTTGTTATTTCTTATAGTCAACTCGTCATTTGGCATACCCTCAGCCAAGTTGTGATTTGGTTTACTGAAGTCAAGGTATAAAAAACCAGACCGGACCGGCCGGTTCAGACCAGAAACCGGTGAACCGGCCACTTGTCCGGTCCGAATCACGCTCTAAACCGGCTAAAAATTGAACCGGTGTCAACCGATCCAAACCGGTATCAACCGGTAAAAACTCAGGTAACCCACTGGTTGGGTGGGTTACCCGGTTCTCTATAAAATCATTTTCGAATGCTGAAAATGGAGCCAACGATGGAAGATCTAAGAAGAAGAGGTGGACAATGATAGAAGAGAAAGAGAAATGGAGACTCAGGCATTGATAGGGATTGGCCAGTGAAGGTGAAGGTTACCAGATCCAAAAAAAGTGGGAAAGAGATGAGCTCGATGATGGCTAGAGATGAGGTCGCCGGGAGAAGAAGATGGAGGAGAGGTCGCCGGATGAAGAAGACGTAGATGAGTCGCCAAATCTGGGGAGGAAGAAGACGGAGATGAGGTCGCCTTACAGCTGCTTTGCTTCAGCAAAATAGTGAGGCTGTACTCTTCGCTCATCCAAGCTCTCTCCTTTTTGGAAGTTGACTGAAATTCAAAGTTTGGGGAATAAAGAAGAAAAGAGTTATGAAATTGAAATAAAATGCATCGAGAATAGACAGGAAAGTAAGAGAAGAAAGGAGGAATAAAATATTAATTAACAAGGGAGTAAATAAGAACCTGACAATGTATCTTCCCTATGTGTCATGTTGATTTTGACGGTGGCGTGGAAGGGATAACAAAAAAGTGAACGTGAATGAGACAGAGGTGAGAGAACTTGCAAATAATAAATGGTCCTTGATTTAAATAATTTAAAATTATGATTTTAGATAATAAACAAATTTTGGTCAAATTTTGACTAATGAAGGTTTATAACTTTATATATATAATTAAGATTTTATTTCTATACAAATATATAATTTTTTTTATGATTGTTAATATTGATTATTGTTTTACATAGGCGATGAAGATATGGACATTACTGACCCTCTACCTTTACAAGATGATGTTGTTGCTCCTGCTTTTCCTCATCCCGTTGTTAACATCTCAGTCCATGCCAATAATCTTAGTGATGATTTTGATTTTTCATAGTGAAGATATGCATTTTATTAATATTTGCTTGATACTATTAAACATTAAACCAACTTTTGTAGCTTCTCATCTTTTTTTAGTGATTATTATTTAGAAATTTTCTTTCATTTTAATATTATGAATTAAATTATATTATTTTAATATAACTGGTCTGACCTCAGTTCGACCAGTAACCCTTAACCCATGTCTTGACCGGTTTAATGTCCGGTCCGGTTTTTTGTTCCTTGACTGAAGTTGTCATTCGTTAAAATGAATTTGTCATTTTTCACAGTCAACTTGTCATTTGGCTTAGGAGCATTTCAAATATTTCACTATGATTTCATATCTGCAAAAGTGGGACCAGATCTTTATTTACTATTTTCGAAATTCAGAATTCCAAATCACAATTTTACATATTAGAGGGTTTTTATTTACAATTTTCCTTTTACTTTATTATAAAATCTTTATCATTTCATAGTATCGGCGCAGCAATATTATAATTTATAAATAAATAATGGTATTGCGAAGAATTACTTAAATGTAATCAGTAGTTTCCTTTCATTATAGCAATTCTAACAAATCAATTCAATATGCAAACTACTTTTAGAATGAACTATTTAATGTTACATATGAATATAAAATAGAATGACATGAAATATTTGATTAAAAACTTAGCAAACTCAAGCTGAATATCGATATTAGTTTCTTTTTTCAGTGCAGTTTTATCTTTAGTTGGAAAAAAAAATATTTTTAAAGACAACTAAAATTTTGTTGACTGCTAAAACTATAAAACCGTATTGTTCACCTTACAAATAATCCTTGTTATTATTTAATATCAGTATATTGTTTCACTAATAAAGCATATATAAATTATTGACGTAAGTTGTGTACCATAGTCCCATATATAGAATTATGCGTGCGTAAGCCTTTTAGTCATGCTACATTGCATCACCAAAATAATGCTACATTTCATCATATGTGATGAAATTGTCAAAAGCCACAGTGAAGTTGTCACTGGTTCTTATCTGTGTTTTTTAAATTCCAGGGTCTTTAATTGCACTTTTCCCTAAGTACTATCTCTGGGTTTAAATAGTGTAATTTGCACTATAAATTACTCCCTCCGTTCCTTATTATAAGAGACATTTGATGCTTATGGCATGTTCTTATATATAAGAGACACTTAAAAGTTGTCTCTACTTTTTTGTGTTGATTTTCCATTTTACCCATATTTATTGTCTCCAACTCACACTCTCTCTCCCTCTCACTTCTCTTTCTTTTAATAATTTAATTGTTCTTTCTCATACTCTCTCTCCTTATTAATGAGGGCATTTTTGGAAAAAAGATCACACTTTTTACACATTGATTGTTCTTAACTAATTTTAACTGTTTTTTTTATCAACGTAATTTGGTTATTCGTCTCTTATAATAAGGAACGGAGGGAGTATATCTTAAAATTTAATTTTTTTTTTAAAGATTAATATCAAGTTTTAAACCTGACGACTGAGCTTCCGAAAGGTCAAGCTGTGAGCATGATTGGCCAGCTTGTGATCTGCCTTGTAACTGGCTTCTAGTAAATGTAATGTATTGATTCTTCAAGGGGTGGCTTAATGGATTCATTTATTATCAAAAGAGAAAAACCTTACAAAAGGCACGACTTCTTCATTCTTTATTTATTATTGGCAACTAAACCCTTAAATATTTTTCGTTCGTCTCCACGTGCACCATTACTTGTTCTGGTGGTCAGTATATACAAAGGCACCGCGGCAAAGCATTACAATTATTCCGTCACATTTTAAATATAAAAACTAACTGAAAGATTTTGAATATAAGAATTAATTGGAATATTTACTTTTGATCTTAAATTTGAGATCCAATTCACTTTATTTTCAAATTTATAATTTTTTTCTTAAATTATCTTTATTGATTGCATATATTTGCGAAAGATTTCATATGGAGGAAGTTTCTATTAAATTAGGTATTTTAGAAAAATCAACACATTGAAATTACTCACTCGCTTGGCCAATGAACCCAATCTCGCCTCGTCCATTGGAGCCAGGGAGGATGTAAAGTTTGGTACTAGTTCCGGTCCTAATTATAAAACCTCGTAGTCATCCTAACAATTGTTTTAAAAGAAATATATCATGGTTGAAGGAAATGATATATTTTTTTCCATAAATAAAATTATGTTTGTACTACTTCCGGTCCTAATTATAAGACCTCGTAGTCATCCTAACAATTGTTTTAAAAGAAATATATCATGATTGAAGGAAATGATACTTTTTTTTTTCCATAAATAAAATTATACTTGTACTACCTCCGGTCCTAATTATAAGACATTGTCCGGAGGTAGTATTAAGTTTTAATTTTTCAGAAATTTTTTTTATTAACCAGCTTGATCAGATGCTAGTCCAGCCTAACAGGCACTCGAGCTATACATTTTGCCGCCATGGGTGTTCATCGATCGAGGTCAAATCTGCTCAAACATGTATATGCCCCTTATGGAGACTGGAGATAGATCTTTCACTTCATCCTTTTATTGAACTTCAACAACTTTTTAAGTTTGGTGTTACCTCCTTAGTTGTTCATTGGTGTATCCACCGTTAACAAAGTACAAACAATATAAACAGCTACAACGCAGTCATTCCTGAATATATAACTAGCTGTTAAATAAATCAACAGAATGCACAACATTATGGATTGTTTGACCAATTCTTCTGAAGGAGAAAGATATCCCAGAACGTCTGACAGAAAAATCTTAGGTACATAAGATGAGTAAACCAATCATAACCATAAACACGAAGAAAAAACATTTGGAATCTGCGCTTTTATTCTCACATGCTCATATGTTATTTCAAGATTTGGTTTGGTTTGCTTGGTACTACTACTATCGTTTTAGATTAAAGTACCAAAGATCTCCTATTGTTTCATATTAGATGCACATCCAACAAGTTAGAATAAGCATTTTCAAGCATAGTTGTAATCACAAGTAACATCAGATTAAATAAAAGAAACGAAATATCTTATTGTGAATGAAAGAAGACAAAAATACGCAGATCAGAAGAGCCAAATGAGTGACATTGTTGAGAAACTATAGTTACATTGCTTCCAACTAAACCCCAACTGTACCAAATAACCTAACTCCGAGTGCATTGCTGCTTTTCATAATTACTTCATTCCAAAGCGAAGACGAATTAGTTAAAACTGCCATGTTCAGCATATTCACTTGCGAGTGTTAAGAGACTAGTCCCCTCCCATCTTCCAGGAGAATAATATAGACGAAAATCTGGCGGCCGGTAGCAAGTATTCCTCATGTTACTAATTCATATAACTATATTTTTCTACGAGCAAGTTCACTCCTCTCCTTTTTTACACAGAGCTATCCTGTTTAATTTGAGCAACAAGATTTCTTTTCCACGTTACCTGACAAATTTGAGACATTTATGGTTGTCCCTTGAGGAAGGCCAGTGGAGGAAGCTGCTTCTTGTGCTGCCAGCGCCTTTTTACTCATAATTTGATATATATCCAATAATATGGTTTGGAATGCCTTCTCAACATTATGGGCCTCTAATGCTGAAGTCTCTAGAAAAGACAGATTCTCCTTCTCAGCCAAACTTTGAGCATCTTCAGTAGCAACTGCTCTTAAGTGATTCAGGTCAGATTTATTTCCAGCCATCATAATAACAATGTTAGAATCTGCATGGTCCCTTAGTTCGCGAAGCCACCTCTGCACATTTTCAAATGTTTGCCTTTTCGTTATGTCATAGACCAACAAGGCTCCAACAGCTCCTCTATAGTAGGCACTTGTGATTGCTCGGTATCTCTCTTGACCTGCAGTGTCCCATATTTGTGCCTTTACAGTCTTCCCCTCCACCTATGTCAACAGAAACATGGATTTCCTAATAATCACTCTTTCATACAAAGTAAACCACAGTACCACAAATTTGTCCTCTACATTGTCTGAGTCATGCTGATTATAACTCATTACTCTTTACGAAGACAGACAAGTCTTTTACTAAATTATATTTTTCTTAAAATAAAATTTTTAAATAAATTCTCATACACATTTGTTACCTTTTAATTAATTGAATCGAGTCAGAAAAAATTCCCAATAAGATTGGCTTGGACCACAATTTTTTTCTTTTTTCCTTTAAAGTTTCTGCAATCCAATGTGATCAGGCCAGGTTGCGGCCATCCCTAACAAGGAGAATGAGCGCTGATACCTAATAAGTTGTTATGTGAACTTCATGAATAATTTTGTTTGGCGTTCTTACAAGACGTCTTTCACCCAAGCTACTTAAAGTGCAGACAAAGCATTTGGTCATTACTACCAAGGAATTCTGAGATACGCCGATCATGAATAGTTTATTTAAATGTTTGACAAGTTCCATCAGCACTAGACCCTTTTTGAATATAAATTAAAGACAGAGCACCTACCGAGGGAGACTAGAATGAACTAAAATGCTAGAACTTTAGATATCATACAAAAGTTGTAAACTGTTTTCTTATAATCTCTCCCAGTTAAATAATTTTTTCCTACTGGATGGTCTTAGTAGTACTACCTACAAAAGACATGGACAAAAGTGATGACAAACAGTAAATATAGTAAATATAAACACTGCTGGCGAGCTCAAAGAAATTAAGTAACGGTAGTCCCAATTTTTTCACAGAAGAAAACTGTCATACATTACAGAGAAATCAGGAATAGAAATATCTGGCCACATCTATCCTTATATGTTGCATGCAAATGCAAAGATGATGAGTACAAGCATTCCAATTGATGTCTGTATAGTCACCATAACAGAAAAAACTCATCAGGTGTTCTACCCAAAAAAAAAAAAAAAAGTCATCAGGTGTTCATTATCCTAAAACCAGATAGAGATTCATTCACTCATTCAATTCTTTCAGGACCTAGTTTTAAACCAGGTAAAGACTAATCGAAGGGGAAGATCAACAAGAACCCAGCACCTTTCATGCGAGAATCAACCGAAACGGAACTCGAATTACATGAAAGTTGATGTTATAAAACCAACCTGCAATGTCCTCGTAGCAAATTCTACCCCAATGGTAGATTTGGATTCCAAACAGAACTCATTTCGCGTAAACCTAGAAAGGATATTGGATTTTCCGACACCAGAATCCCCAATCAATACTATCTTGAAAAGATAGTCGTATTCATGATCGACTTTATATGCCATATTTCCAACACCCGACACCACGTAAAACCTGCCCAGATCTAAGCAAAATTAGCAAACACAAATTTGTCGATCAAAAACCTAGGATATACAAACACACAGCCGAAATTACATTCAAAATTCGACAACATATAAAATCCGTTAGTCTGGCTGCAAGTTATCGTGATAAACAGACAGAGAAAGGGAAACGAACCATAAAAGACGGTAAGAGGCGAGTGATGAAGCGACGGTGAACAGAGGGAATAGAGATTGAAAAGAGTGGAGAGGTTACAGAGGAGTGCAGGGACGGGGAGGAGGAGAGAGAGAAGAGAAGAAAGTGCATATTGGAAGGCCAACAATGAAGAGAAACGGAATAAACGGACGAGAAAGCACTTTGAACAGCCTTACACGTGGAATGCAATGCGTGAATCTCGGAAGATGTTATTTTTATTTATTTTTTGCAAACCTGTTTTGAGTTCATCGTCAGATCTTCTTCATCAACCTGAATATGACCAAACAATCAACGCAAAATGAAAAAGATTAAATCACCTTCATTTTCTATAATAGACAATCATCTCTCACAGCCGTTATGTTCCTAAATAAAAAAAACAAAAAAAATAACTCCTCCTTGTTTAAAATTGAAAATTGATCTTTTCATTTTTATTTTTATTAAATATATATTACTTTTTTTTTTTGGTAGAAATGAAATTTTATTAAAAGAAACGAAAGAACGAGTACAAAAGAACAAAAACGAAAACGATTAGTTAGGATCCTGGGCTTTCCCAACATGCATGGCCCAAGAAAGTGCTTCGTTGACTAGGAGATGCGCCTCCTTGTGTACTTGGCAGAAAAGGAGATGGTTTCTTGCACTCCAAAAGCTTCCAACAGATGATTCCAAAGAAAATACACCAATTCGGGCTCTGTTCCAAATTCATCTTCAACCAAGACTCGAAAGATTGCGATAAAAAGCCTGGAAATCGGCGTGCAGGCAAGATAAGTGCCCTACATATTACTCATAATCTCTACGTACTCCCTCAAATAAATATATAATTGTAAAAAATATATATATTTTATATATAGGTTAATATAATATTTGGTCCCTTCAGTTTGTTTTCATTTTGGTTTTGATCCCTCAAATTTCAAACCATAGGTTTTGGTCCCTCAAGGGGCAAAATGGCCTAAGTTTTTATTGAGTTGTAGAGATCAATATTTTAAATAAAAAGAAACTTGAGGGATCAAAACCAAAATGAGGGCAAACTTAAAGGACCAAAATTTATATTAACTCTTTATATATTTATTATTTTTAACTAATATTTTGAACTGTGTGATTATGATGGTTGTCTCTTATAATAACAGAATTAAACAAGGTTGTTACTTATACATTGATTAGAAGAAATAATTTAAATTAAAAGGTTAGTAATTTCTTCTCCTTTCAATTTCAAATGGAACATATCATCTTTTTCATTAAAATATTTGTTTATATTTGAACCATCTTGGATAGAGAACTGTAGGCGAAAAAGAAAGAAAGAAGGGGAACTTTTAGTTTGGTTTTCTAGAATATCCTCCCATCTGAACAGTAAAAAACTAATCTCTCATAATAGAATTAGGTAGAACATAATATTTAAGGTACTCAAGTCTTTTTTACTTGAGCTAATATTTGTTGGTAAAGATGGAGAACTTTTAAATGACAAAATGCTACAGGGTTGGGCTTCTTGTTCAATGGTCGGGCTGTTTCTTTTCCCAAACACGTATCCCGGAAACACAGGGAAGTTTGGTATCAAATTTTTTTTGGTTGCCCGTCACCTCATGGCCTACTAACACTTTATATGGATTCAATTCAGGAGCTGATCTAAATAGTCCGAAGCTAACTCTTAACTTATAACGTATTCTTCAAATCTTTAATATAAAACTTAATTATTACGTTAATTTTAGTTTTAAATATAAAATTTATTTTTTATATTTATTAGTTTTTTTATAAATTATCTTTATAGATACTCTCTCAACTATAATCGAGTAAGTAAGAAATAAAGGATATTAAGAAATATGATTATGGTGTTTTAAGAAAAGTATGTTATATTTTTTTCTAATTAATTAACTTAATTAAATTTTTTAATTTGGTTAAATTAATTAAATATGTATTATATTAATACTGGAGGAGTAATTAGTTTGTAAACACAACAAAAAATGACTTGTGAATTTCATCGCATTTCAATATATTTTTTTCATACCAACAACAGTTATTAGCCAGTAGTATCAAAGTTAAAACTCAATTATATTTTCATTTCGGTACTTGTTATAATGAAATTTAAGGTAAACTCAACTGTCTCTAGAGAAATTCGGGGGGGGGGGGGGAAGTTCCATTGTACTCATTTCAATAGTTAATATAATAATTAGTTAACCAATTTAGATAAATTAAAAAAAATAAAATAAAATAATTAATTATAACAAATATAACATGATTTTTTTTAAAATACTCTTATCCAATGTTAGATGACGTACGGGTTTATAAGTAAATTATTCTAAGAAAAAATAATGAATATGAAAGAAAAAATAAATTAATATTTTATATTTAAAATCAAAATTTAACACTTATCAAGCTCTTATATTAAAGACAGAAAGTAATACTACATATACTTGATTGCAATACAAACAACAACCGAAAACTTCATATTGAAAAAAAAAAATGCATGCATTCATCCCCAACAAGAAAATGAATGAAAGATGTGGGCATTTCAGTCACAAGAAAGGAAAGGAAAGGAACAATAAAAGATAAAGAAAGAGAGTGACTTATTATGTGACTAATGACAATACTATTTTTTGCATGTGGATTATGCTAGCTTTTGCTTTCCCGTTCCACTGGCCGTTGCTATCTGTCTCTGTCTTGTCTTCTCAATGGATCTCAATAAGGTTGTTACTAATGATAAAAATATCCAAATAAATTTAAGTTTTAATGACTTTAATGTCAAATTCTTTATTTTCATTATAAAGTTTTTTGAATCATATATGGTCAATTATCTCTTTTTTACGAGTTTATAATTAAATAATAATATTTTAAAGATAGGATAAATGACCATATATGATTGGAAAGTCCAACATAATGAATATAAAAAATTTGATATAAGTTTGCGTGCATGTGTGTCAATTATTATGAAAAATTATTACATTACGAAATCATTATCATGAAATGTCAAAACAAGTTTTTGGCTTTGTGCCTGATGACTTGTCACGAGATATATTTTCAAGATGAGTACTGATTCTGGGCCTTTTATCGACAACCAAGCGCCCATCTCTTTAATTTCAACCCAAATTTTCAAAAAGCCTTCAAAAGCAACGCGAGCTCCAAGCCGAGGATAACTTTTTTGGCAAAATAAATCCAGGTGGTGACAACCAACTAGTGTTGCTCTAAGTGGAAGGGACTTAGACCCCTTAAACATCATGTCCTGAGTTTGATTTTTGGGGAGGTACGTATGAAAAAAACACTATTGGGAGGGGTTTCCGCTACGGCGCCTGACAGTACCCTGAGAGATTAGTCTCTTAACGTTCGGGTGGGAGGATACTCTGGACAACCAAAAAAAAAAAAATCTAGGTGGTGACTGTACAGTATACATCTGTCTCTTATTACAAGATTTTTTTAAAAAACTAAATTACGTAATTTAAAAAATAATTAAAATTAGTTAAAAGTAATTAATATGTAGCAAATATAATTTCTTTTTAAATATACCCCTATATATAAATGAATAAATATGAGAGAGTAATAGTAAGATAAATAAAAAAATATATTAAATATATTAAATTAGAAATGAAATAGGTAACAAAATCATTCAATACTTAGACAAATTCAAAAAAGATTTTATAAAAAAAGACAAATGTATTCAAAAAATTAGATCTTATAATAAGAAAAGGAGGAAGTATTCTGTTTCTTTGCTTATAGCCCCAAAATAAAGTTAGAAAATTTGCGTTAAGTCTCGTTCAAAAGAAATAAATACAAAATAGTTTTTTAAAATTATTAAATTAATCTAAATTTTAAGAGATCTCGTAACAAGAGATTTCATTTGTTTAGTTATTACGGTGCTTTTACTTTTTTTTTTAATATGTATTGACAATTAAAAAGGCAGTCGTTAACAATATAAAATGTAACGATTACAAACTATCATATCAAGTATTAACAATATATTTTCTTAGTGTATGACAAAAATTTAATTTATGGGTTGTTATTATTTGTCATGATAGTTGTTAATCATTGCACTTTAAGTTATTAGTAACTGTCTTTTCAGTTGAAAATGCATACTTAAAAAAATGAGGGTAATTTAGTAATTGAATAAGTAAAATCCCTTGTAATAAAATCTTTTGAACATTTAAATTAATTTGATGATTTTGAGAGTTTTTTTAATATTTAATTCTCTTACACGGAATTTAGTGTAATTTTTTTCAATAAAGTTCTTGTACAAAAAGTCATCAAAATTTTAGCATTTACTTTGTGAAAATCCGCCTCCAAATTATATTAATATCTCTATTTTTAAATATAAGGTCAACTTTTTATACTGCAAATTATTATTATTCTTGTAAACTAAATTTTGTATTTAGAATTGGAGGTAGTACATTTTAAATGAATAATGCTATTTAAGATCAAATTTTGAAATTAATAAATGGATTAACAGCGTGACAAAAGTTGGAAACAACAGCTATAAATCTGTCAATATTTATTAAAATTTAAATTAGTAGTAATTTAAATAGCTATATATAAAAAATATAACCCAAAACAAACCACAATATTTATAAATGATATGACTTAAAGACATACATAATTACATATGTTGATACATGTACTAGAGATCAAAGGAAAATTGCGGGTCAAAAAAAAAAACAAAAGAGATCAAAGGAAAATTTGCGTCTTACTATTAACAAAAAGGCATTTTTTTTATTACGAAAAATGTATTACTCCTCCGGTTTTTAATATAGGATCCAATTCTTGAGTTGATTTTGGTCCTAAATATAAGACCTATTTTTCATATTTATCAGTTTTTTCTAAATTACCCCTATAGATACTCCTTCAATCATAATCAAGTAGAAAAGGAGGATGGCGTATTAAGAAAGATGATTATTGTGTTTTAGAAAAAATGTGTCACTTTTCTTATAATTAAATAACTTACTTAACTTTCTTAATCTAATCAAATTAGTTAAATGAGTCTTATATTAAGAATCAAATGAGTATTAATTAGTTTGTTTCCAGGACTAAAGGAATTTTAGAAGTCAAGTCTTCATCACATTAATATCAGGAAT